CAGTGTTTTTACTGACAGGAAACTCGGCAGGGGTCCAGGCTCAAATATACATGGACTAAGTGACGTACATTTATCTTAAGCCAGTTTTTGCCAATACGCCGTCTTTGATAGAATTTTTCTATTTAGGTCAGGCTGTCTATGGGGCTTCAGTCCTATATGCTCCACCCCGCTAGGCGATGGTTATATCGCAAACAAACGTTTATATAAAGCCATCTAAATAAAAATGAAGTTTATTAGTAAGTTTGTATAATTGATTTTAATGTAATATAATATATTATTTTTGTAAGTTTGTATAATGTTATAAAATATAAGTAAATATTCAACATGTTTATTCATTTAAATAAATGAATAAAATACTTTCAATGCATTTATAGACATGTGTATGACAAATCACACTGCCATAAATATGATCAATAGTTGTTACTCTAGTTTTAGCTGTTCTTGTATGAGTTTCAATGAATTGCCTGAATTGGACCATTTTGTATTATTAAACTTATTCCTCAAATATATAACTCAGAATATTAAGAATAAATTTCATCGAATTGCTGTTCGTATTCATCAATCCATGATTGATGTACTTTTGGAGGGCGATATACATAGTTTACTGGAAACGTTTTTGTATTAGGGTAGTTATCTTTACCCAAAGAGATTCTTTTTTTTTTCAATTGCTATCCTTTCTTTCAAAAACAAAGTTTTCTATTTTCAAATTCAATTATTATAAATATTGTCATATGGATATTATATAAAAATGTCAAAATGTGAATAATGCATATGTCTATATAGTTCAGTTTTTCCATCTCGTCGGCCAGGGGGTTGATTCAATCCATAATCGTCTGCTATCTATAACATCATTTGTAAGTCTGCACTGAGCCGTCATGTGATTATTGCGTCCACAGTTGTCGCAATGAATTCTGCCGTAGAGCTTATGGCGCCGACCCATGTGCCTGTCCGACTCCCATATTGGTGTATTGGTGTATGTCGGTATTCACTCTCGGTCGGTTGATCTTTGTCCTCTTTGTTTGTCGGTTTCATTAAAAGCTAGTCATAAAACCTCTGGCAACCCCTATTAATTGAAATAAAGAAAGAAAACCCTAAATTATAAGGCGAAAATATATATAGTGATTCAACTGTATTAATTTTACATATGAGTTCAATATAATTATGATTATGTCTTAGGAAGTTAAATGATTGAATAGAATAAGAACACATACATTGTAACTATATCAATATCTGATAAAAAGTGATCCCTCGGAAGCATTAAAAGCAGCAAAATACGTGTATTCGAGTTGTAGTTTAATGTAACGCAAATTAATACGTAAGATCTACTTACGCTAAAACTTACGTTCAAACTCAAGTTACGATAACGTTAGAACGTTTAACTTAGTGAACGCACTCCAGGCTTATAACTGCATCATCAAGTATGACCGAATCGTTGCCTTATATGAAACAATAATATAGCATTAGGTTCAAAATACACATATTTACTTAGCAATTTACCCTCTAAATTTCAGCAAAATATATTCCAGTTTATACAGTTTTTCATTAATTATCTCTATAAATGCAGTTTTCAATTTTTAACACACAAAAATCATAATTGAGATTGTAACTGTTAAGTTCCTACAGATGTTTAACTAACTGTTTAACAGGTTTGTTATGGCCTTTTTGAATGGTAAAGATGAAACTTAATGACTCAGTCCGGATCTACCGAGGGGTAGGGGCTTAAGAGGCTAACCCCCCCCCTCCCCCGACACCCTGGTTTAATATTTTTTTTATCAAAAATGGCATATTGAGGGTAAAATATTACCAAAGTCTGAAGTTTCCTAAAAGTGGTGTAGGAAAAGTTTTAAATTGATTTGTTTAAATTTTGTCGTATGCAATCGCGGTAGATTGGAAAAAAGTATATTATATAAAACATATATATTTACATAATAAAGTCTGATTGAAATAATATAATTATATTTTAGGCAGGAAAATATAGGCTCAACAAAAGTATTAAAGGGAAGCACCAGAAAAGTTGGGTTTTTAAAATTAAATCGCTATATAAAGGGCAGAGCTGCATCAATACTAAGGGTGTAGTACTTAAGTACCAGTAACAGTACTTGGGAAATTATGCAGTACTATTACAAGTACCAGTACTAGATTTTAGCTCGGTACTGCAATACCAGTACTTTTTTTCATGAAGTAATTAAGTATCAGTACCATTACTTTTATATATTCATCAAAGTTTGAATAAATACAGTGTCAAACAAATAATTGCAAATATTATTCAGCAAATAAATAGAATCATAATCAACTTTAAAGCTGCGCCATGCCTCAAGATGACCAAAAATATTTCAAGAAAATTAAACTTGGAAAAAAAATACTAAAACTTTGAGAAAAGTAAACAAATTAAAGATTCAAGTGATAATTTATATCTTATGTTCAATTAATGTCTGTACTTTGTCGTATTTATCACCATATTTCTACTGTGTTACTAACGCAGTAGGGGCTATTAATGCAAGTTTCGACCTCTTTTTGGTAATTTACATGGATTTTTTGTGCCGATTGTAATGCGTCAAGTACTTTCTTTGTTCATTTAACAATATTTTACCTTTAAATACATTTTCAAAATTTTCATGAAAATTAGGATGAATCTGGAGGCGTGCTACTTTACAGTTAACATAGCATATTTACAACTTTATAGTTTTAACATACTTTTTACAAACAATATTTACAACATATATTCATGTCATATCTAATTGTTTAGTAACCAGTCAACTGTAATACAATGCAATCATCTTTCATTTACAACAAAACAGTCTTCTGTTGCCCTTCACACCTTCACACCTCTGTTCAATTTATACCAAAGTAAATTACAACTTTTTATGGTGCTAACAATATTACTTTTTTCACTTGAAATGCGAATTTTTAGAATAGAAGAAATTAATTAGTGTTTATTTTGCTCTTTTACTAGTAAATACAAAGTAATAAAATATTTTAATAAGGTTATTTTAGGGTAAAGAGTTATTGAGTCTTTTTTATCTTAATTACATTTTTACTTAAAGTCTTTGGTGCTTTTTATGATGAATACTATGTTAATATTTGAAGGAATATTGCAGCAAATTATCTTTAGATTTGATAACATACTTTTTCACAAAAATAAAATATAGTAATGTAATTTACAGCTTTATTTTATGAGAAAAATTGATGTTACTTTAAATTTTTATCAAAACCAAAAGTACTGGGTAATGCAGTAGTAGCAGTACCACTTTTTAAGACAGTAATGCAGTACCAGTACCAGTAGTAGCAAAATTTTGTAAGAGTAATTCAATTTCTGTACCAGTACTTGCAAAATCGCTGCAGTACATACTGCAGTACCAGTACCAGTACCAGTAATGCAGCTCTGATAAAGGGTTCCGAATTAATTAATATATATTATTGAACAAATGACGAAGTTAAACTGATTTAATTGTATACGAGTCTTTACCGAGTATTTCATACTTTTAAAGACACTGGCTTCCAGAATGGTAAAATGAATAAAACACGAAATAAAATTTCAAGTGAAAGATAAAGACTGATGAACAATATTGGTTCATAAATAAAACATTCTAAAGATTATCATACATCAAAAGCTTGCAAATAATATAAACGTCACAGCGAAACTCAAAATAATGGTAGACTTGCCTGAAATACAGAAAAATAAACCTCTTAAGAGAGTCCGAAACGACAAAATTGAAAATGTTGCAGGCTGGGTTTGATTGGGTCTGTTCATGGACGGTACTGTAAAGAGCAAACCCTCCTAGAACCGTTTTAAGCAGCATTCAACATTTAATATGAAATGGTAGAATTCAGAATTTATTTAAACATCCATAGATGTGTTTATATGGCGGTTATCATGGGACTTTAGAAGTGACACGCTTGTGCCATTCCATGAAAAGCGACATTTGGTCCCCAAATAGAATAACGCTTGTGCCTAATACCCAATATTAATTTGTAATTTTGTTGGACAACCCCTTCTGCATTTTAACTACCATTTCACTTTTTTGAATAAACCTACAGCAAGATATTTCACTTAAATTGCAATAAAATACTATTTTAATCTACTTTAACCCTGATTCTCATATGTGTGTATATCTGCACTTAAAAACAAGGGAAGTTTCTTTTTTTGTTCAGTATACATACGTTTCAATAAAAACAGCATCATGTTTCTTTAAATCGAATGGTAAACAAACGTTTGTTCATTTCTTTTATATTAAAATTATAAATTTATTATGAAGCCAACATGTTTAAGTAGTCTTTTATATATCTTCATGATTTATCTTTCAATCATAGTTTTACAACAGATACAGAAATCAGCTAGTTTAACACTTTGTTATAAACTATGTAATGTATAGATGTCTGTTCTAGGTAAGATCCATTTAGGTTAAAGGTAGTTTGTGCAACTGCTGTCTTTTATTCCTTTTTTACAGGCAAACAGACAGTTTGCTCAGAAAATTATGTATAATTATTATTTAATTAACTGAAAAGATACATGTACATTATAAAGTATTGATTTTTAGAACGCAATATATATAATATATGTTCATTTTAATCAGATCCTCTATCACTTAATTCCTCTGTTCCCATTTAAACACACTATTATACTTTATAATCTTGATTGTAATTTTTGTTCTTCAATCAGTTTGCTATAAAACCTGTGACAAATGCAAATTGAACTGGAACGTAAACGGTAATATATTGTTCTTTTGAAGAAAATTTTAAGCATGCACTTTATTTATTTATTGTGTATACCGTTGTATGAAATAAAAGTGTTAAAATTTATTTATTCTTTTGATAAGGGATTGAAAGCACTTTGATGCTATTTATTATGAAACAAAAATATGTAACATTTACTGTTAAAAATTGTCTTGCTTTTATAATTATAATATATCGTTAGTTTATTTTTATACGTAGAATGGCAGCCGTTTTAAATCTTAGTTTGTTTTGTAAAAGTATATGATTCTATTTTTTTTTTATTTCAGAAACCTTCAGGGGTAAGATTGTGTTTTTTTAAACCTTAATTTTTAATAGGACATCATTGATTGAAAAATTAGAAAAGCAAAAACAAATAAACTATTTAAAATGATACGTAAATTTTAATGTTGTTCAATATGCCCCAGCACATTTATTAATTTCAATTTATGTCACCTAATAATATTACATATTTAAAATTAAAACTGTTATAAAACTTGGTAGATTGGTCAGAAACGACTTTTAAATGACTACTCAGATTTCCCCTACATAACGTTAGCAATAATAGTCGTATTGAAAAAAAAATCTATGGGAAAAGGAAGAACTTACCGTAGACGAAATAACAAGAAGTGACACAATAGTGTCATCACAAATGTATGTAACAATAAACAGAACATATATCTGAGGAATACAGAGGAACGCCGCCTTAGAACAGTCGGACGCATAAGTACTGATGGGGAGTTTAAACCGAATAATGGTGCACAAAACCTCACTCTTAACCCCAATATGTACCTTTTAAAAATAAAGTGTAAATAAAGTAAATCCCCGCAAAGAGAAATTTTAAAAGTTGGTATGGTTATCATCTACAAAGGACCGTGGAAGTAAGACGTAAGAAAACGAAAATTTAGAAAATTCAGTCCCAAGGGTTTTAAGAACTGTCTATCATAGTCTTCGACATGATTCGTCAGATGTAATCAGGAAAGCGTCACGTTCAATTTTCAAAGGGTTTAACACCAAGGATGCAGTGTGTTTTAAGAGAGTAGCTCATAACCTCTTTTCATTAAACGTTTAATTATTTTAGAAAGTGCTGAAAAAATAGGATAATGCAATATCCCACCAAAATTGTAAATCAAATTGCCATATAAATCAAGATAACCCCTATTTGTTGAAGAGCTTTAAAATAAGTATAACATTTTGATACTAAATCGAAATAATTACTATTAAAGAATTTAGTAAACTATGTCCGTTATTTATGATATCTAAAGCCCTGTTTGAAAGGTTTGCAAGAGATGAAATTAAATCGTTTGTTAAAATTGTTGTTTTAATGGCTTCAAGCCCTTGTGAATTTTATTTATTGAGATATATATACCGCTTAAAATGTTGCATGGGGTACATCTCCATCTAAATAAGGATATTTGGCTATCATAATAAGATCACAGTCATCTCTCTTATCAAAGAGTTTTTTTCAACTGTAAAATGTAGATACAAAAATGATGTGATAAAATTTCAAGAATTCGTTTCAGTAAATTCTTTTGGATAGACTTTAGACTTTCCTATCTTATTATTTTTAATGCATGTAGGCAAGGAATTCCAATCATTAATTGGTTTTGAAAAAAAGTAACATTATCCTTTCCATAAATTCTTGGGACACTAAAATTATACTGATTCGCCCGAGTTGAATAAAGAATGAATGTCTCTTATAGGTACACAATCTTCTTTCATATATGAAGGGCACTGGTTATTAACAATTTTAAAAACATGATCCAGACGTAATTGCTTATTTCTGTTTACTACATTAAATAAAAACATTTTAGCAAGAATAACATAATTGACGCCATCTCTAGGTCCAATACCATGTATAAATCTAACAGTTTTATTTTGAAAAATTTGAAGCTTATTTTTAAAACACTCGTTTATAAATCGGCTGATTTAACAGACTGATAATGTTTGAATCGGGAGACCAACGCACTATACTCCCATTCCGACATTATATAAGCATGCCTATAAAAAGCAAACCTACAAGACGTTATTCCTTTGTATTTAGAAAGGTTTATTAAAGTAAATGACCAGATGAACCTATTTTCCTGTTCTTCAAATGCGTTTCAAAATGAAAGTAATGTCATAGTATAGAGCGAAGTGAAATGTGCAAGGTTATTGCATAGACCTTGTGATTTATATCTATTTTCGTGTCGCCTTAAAAAAAGACATATAGGGGTTATTTTTGTCAGCGGTGTCGGCGTTGTCCGAAGCATAATTCTGTCACTAGAAGTCGGATTGACTTCAAACTTGATATGCAGGCTTCTTTTAATAACTCGAAGTGCAGTACACAAAGACCAGTACTCTGCATTTCTTAATCTTTGAGTTATTGCCCTTCATACATTCATACTTTAATTTTGTCCGGGCCATTTCTTTTCAACTATAAAAGCTATTGACTTGAAACTTCATAGGATGATATATCTCATTCAGAAGTGCAGTGAAAAGAACCGGAAATCTGCACTTCTTATTTTTTTTAATTATTGCCCTTTGTTAATTTTCATATTTTATTTTTGTCCAAGCCATTTCTCATTATTTATAAAGGCTATGGGCTTGAAACTTCATATGATGATAGATCTCATTAATAAAAAATGAAGTGCACAAGAACTGGCACTCTGTTTTTCTTGTTTTTTTAAGTTATAGCCCTTTGTTAATTTTCATACTTTATTTTTGTCCGAGCCATTTCTCCTAAACAATAAAAGCTATTTACTTGAAACTTATCATTAAGAAGAAGTGCAGTGCACAAGAACCGGTATTCTGCACATCTTAATTTTTTAATTATTGCCCTTTTTTATTTTTCATACTTTATTTTTGTCTGGGCAATTTCTCCTAAACTATAAAAGCTTTGGACACGAAACTTCATAGGATGATAGGTCTAATTAAGATGAAGTGGAGTACACAAAAACCGGTACTCCATGATTTTTGAGTTATTGCCCTTATTTGATTTTCTTACTTTATTTTTATCCCGACCATTTCACCTAAACTATAAAAGCATTGGACTGGAATCTTCATAGGATGAGAGATCTCATTAAGAAGAGGTGCAGTACAAAAGAATTATTATTTTTTTAGTTATTGCCCTTTGCAGTGTTTATAAATAACCTATATTTAAGACGAAAATGCTTAAGTGAGTGGCAACTATACTATTTACAAGGCGACACATCGAACATACAGAGTTCTAGTTATATATACTAGTTAAATGTATGAATAACACAAATACTTAAATTTCAACTCAACTGGTGAGCGTATTTGCCCGATGGCTATTTGTCCGTCTGTCGTACGTGTACATATGTGTCCAACCTCATCCGGTTGCTTCGTTACCACTTGGCAAATGTGATGAAATATACAAGGTCGCCGACTTCAAATCATCTTTTCTTTACTGCTGTGATTAAATTCCAATCATGGTGTTAGCTTTTTTGTATTGAGATAGTTTACGGATGGACCCGTGGTTCTAGTCAGATGCCTGCTCAGTGTCTGAAATGTTTCCCAAAGGGGTATCTGGAGTTTTTCTTTACAGTAAAGCAAACATGTTTTCACATTACCTTTATGTTGGTGAAACTGAAAATCCAAGAAAACCAAAAGTAACATACCCCTTTTTAAATACTAAAAAAAATACATTATTGAAGATGGAAAGTCCAACTTAAAATAAATTTTATGGTTTGCAGTATTTCTCACTTGAATACTGTTTACTAAAACATATTTTATTTATCAATTTTTACAAGCATGTAACATTTTTACATCACAATATATATGGATTGGAAAACAAGCATAACACTTATATATATTCCTTTCCATGATGGAATTTCGTCTTTATTATTTCACTTTATATGATCAGTTCATGTTTTAAGGTTCAAATTTGATCTAAATTAATAAATTTTCGAAAAGTATTACTTTGTTGTTTTGTTTATTCATTTTCCCTTTTAATGAAAAAAGAAGAAATAACAATAAAAAAATGTGTCACACACTTTGTCATAGAAATACGATGTTTAGGACGCTGAGTCGGGAATTATGAATCGAAACGCTTTGATGCTTCAATGAAGCTCTGGACAAGTGTGAACAAATTCTGATTTATGTCCATATATAGGCGATCATTGCCGAAAAGAAGATTATTAGGGGTTGGTGCACAGAGTAGGTCGTTAAAGCAATGCTGACGTATGATATGGTACTTAGGACAACTGAGCAGAAAGAGGGAGACAGTTTCTATACCACCACATGTACACAAAGGAGACGAGATTAAATTTCTCCTATGTAATTCGAAATTAAAAGAGCTGCATCCAAGTATGAGACGTGTATAGTTTACTTTTTTTTTTCCTGCTGCCAAAATCATACAGGTGTTTTGTCTTTTTAGACGACATATTTCTGTAGTTGAGCTTGTGTTTGAAAGTGCTAACAGTGGATGCATTTTTAATATGTCCAGGTAAAGAATTCCACTGGCGAAAAGTATACGGAAGAAAAGAAATAGCATATGAATAGGAGTTGCAGTGTATTAATGGGATAATTATTGGTGTTAGAGCGAAGAGTGTAGGGTTGATTAAAATGTTCTGATATCAGACCAGAGAGATAATCAGGAGCGAGACCATTTTTCATTTTATACAGAAGTACGAGACGGTGTTTTCTTCTCCTTTCTGCAAGAGTATCATATCTGAGGTGGCTCATAAAAATGTTGATGTTGCAAAACTTAGTATCTCCTGTGACGATTCTTACTGCTTCATGCTGAACTGATTCAATATCATTTTTAGTTGATTGCTACAGTTATCCCACATCACGTCGGCATACTCAAGCAAAGATCTAATGAAGGCTACATATAATTTCTCCAATCCTGCTCTAGAAATAAAAAAATTCAGACTTCTAAGAATACCCTAAGCTTTATTAACATTTAATGTTATATGTGATGTCCATTAACCATTTTCAGAAAAGATGACACCAAGGTGCTTGTGTTCTTTAACGCTAGAAATATTCACATTATCACAGACTAGACAAGGGTGTTGGGTTTTGTTTCGTTTTCTTGATAAAAGGACATGTTCTGTTTTTGAGGGATTAAATGAGACAAGCCAAGTTTTAGAGCACAAAGAAATTTTGGAAAGCTCGCAATTCAATATTGCAGCAGAAGAGTTGGGATCTTCGACAATGATGTAGAGACTAGTGTCGTCAGCAAAATGTCGAATGTTTGCTTCAATATCAGTGACTATGTCATTAATGTATATTAGAAACAGGAGAGGGCCTAAGATGGACCCCTGAAGTACTCCAGCATTGATTTTTAAAAATATTGAAGAAGAATTTGATACGATGACTATTTGTTTTCTGTCAGCAAGATAAGATGAGAACCATTGAAGAAAAGAACCTTGTATGCCTATAGAAGAAAGTTTATAGAGGAGTCTTTGGTGCCAAACCCTAATGCCCGCGTCACACTGTCCCGAAATTGGAACCAGATGGACACACGAATAAAGAAATGTTCAAATTCGGATCTGATCGTAATAACATCGGGTCATTCGTAAGGGCATCTTTTGTCATCGTATAACCCCCGGCTAAATTTTCAGGCTCCTGCAGCAACTTCGTGAGCGTTCCTAAATTTTTTGGCATGCCAAAAAATTGCCGGAGGACATTGCGAAGGTTCATTTTCGTGTTCAGTTCGTATGCCAATTTTGCGCTTCGTAAGGCCTTCGTGAAGCCATCTTGTCAAATCGTATAGTATTCGTCTTTACTTCGTGTAATCATCGTTGCCATCTGGCAATTTTCGCCTCAAGAAGACAATACGAAGGAAATACGAAGATGCCCGAATGTCTTAGGAAGGCAACACGACTACGTGAAGCCCCCTGCACTACCGCCATGTCGCCATCGTACTTTGGTACGATGCCATCGAATCGGACCACGATGTGGGCGGAAAAAATAAATTTGAGTGGCTCGATCAAATGTATCATGGTGGACGTATAAAAGACTTGCCTCAAACCATCTTCCTCATCAGTCAGTACTGAACAACTCTATAGACAATACAAAAAAGTTCCATTATTTACAGTAATAAACAACAATTTTCACAATGACATATTTTGACGAAAAAACAAGAAAAAGAAGGAAGCAAAATTGCTACTATTTATACACCTATGGAACCATGATAAGCAGCTGTTACAGGTCCAACACCGCCTCTTACAGGTAAAACAATACTGAATTATTTAGTTTTGTCATTTCTTGCTATTTGCCTTCCCAGCATTCGACAATGTACTTATGTTATTTTGTTTTTATGTTTTAGATCAGGGGCAAACCAAGGCGAAGGAAGAATCCGAGATATGTGTGGCTCAGGAAATTGCTATCTGAGAAAAGAAGAGAAAAGTATGGCCACTACAGCACTCTACTAAAGGAGTTGAAGATAGAAGATGAGAATTCCTTCTTTAACTATACAAGACTTCCCAGAGGTCTATACGATTAGGTCCTGCAAAGGATAGAAGGCAGAATACAGAAAAAGGACACATGGTGCAGAAAGTCTCTTTCTCCTAGTCTCAAGCTGTCTATCACTCTACGACACCTGGCCTGTGGTGACAGTTATAAAAGCCTGTCCTACAACTTCAGAGTAGCTCCAAACATCATCTCCCTTATAATAAATGAAGTTTGAGATGCCATCAAAGCCGAGTTTGCTGCTGAGGTGATCCAGTGTCCTACTACAAAGGAAGAATGGACTGCCATTGCTGAGCAGTTTGAAAAAAGGTGGCAATTTCCACACTGCTGTGGTGCTCTAGATGGCAAGCATGTGGCGGTGACATGTCTTTGGAATACTGGTTCTATGTACAGAAACTACAAGGGCTTCTTTTCCATTGTACTTATGGCCTTGGTCGATGCCGACTATATGTTTCTTTGGATTGATGTCGGCTATGATGGTTCAAGCAACGATGCCAGTATTTACAACGGGTCAGAACTGAAGGAAGGCCTGGAGAGTCCGGACAACATATTCAATCTCCCTGAAGAGAAGTCCTTACCTGGTGACGACGTTCCTGTACCATACTACATAGTAGGGGACAATGCTTTTGGAATCAACAAGAGCCTGATGAACCCGTTCTCTATCAGGAACATGGAGTATCATGAGAGAATATTTAACTATAGACTCTCAAGTGCCAGGCGGGTTGTAGAAAATACCTTTGGTATTCTGGCGCACAAGTTTCGAGTTTGGCTCAGGACCATGAACCAGAGGCCAGAGACATGCAGAAAAATAATCACAACCTGTGTGATCCTTCACAATCTGATCAGGCTGAGATATCCAGCTATCCACAAGAACCTGATGGACTTGGAGGACCAGAACCAAGATGTCATCCAAGGGGCATGGAGAAATGACAAAGTACTTCTGGATTTTTACCACGAGAGGGCAAGGAACACTGGAACCTAGGAGGGGAGGCAAATTAGAAGATACCTTGGTCACTACTTTACCTTAAAGGCAGGTTCGGTGCCATTGCAAGATAAGATGATTTTGTAATTTTCCTGCAAAACATTGACAGTAAAGTGAAACAAAGCAGTGATAGTAAAATTGTTAAAGAGACATCCTAACATTGTGATGACGAATATATTACTTTCACATTTTGCATTGTATTTGAAGTAAATCTTGTATGAAATTATTAATGCTGTTTTTGAATCTTTTATTAAAATGTATTAATTTTACTTATTTTCCCCTCCATTATAATAAAACAAAGGCCAAACATTAGATAATATAAAATCTCAAGTTTCCGAAATGTACAGTCTCATATTTCTTTAACATAAAAATGTAACTTTTATGTTATGTTATATTTTACATTTCTTTGTTAAAGTAGTATTTGACTTTACAGTTTGAAAACTTGAGCTTTTCAAATTAAAAAATATCAAAAATTAACAAAGTCTGAAAATATCGGTAACAAGTTTTATTATATGCAAATTACAGTATGAATTTGCTTTTCGGATTATTCCTAGAACTGTCTCTGATTATTTTCATGGACCTCTCTCTGGGATTCTGGTTACTGTCTTTGATTATTATTGTCGACAAGTTGCACTTAATCTGAGGGTTCGATGTTTTTGTGCTGGGTCTGCTGCGCTGGAACTGGAGGCGTAGGAGACTGACGGCTGCAGTGTTAGCTGCAATGAACCTCCTGTTTGCTGCTGTGAAGAAAGTTGGACGAATGCAGTTTGTAGAGGAGAAGGTATGTAACCCTGAGGGGAGGTGCTTGCTGGCTGGAGTGTATGGTACTGCTGCTGTTGCTGTTGGTCTGAGTTGTACTGTTTGTTTGCCTGCGCTATGTAGCCACACTCCTGGGGTCTCCAGACTGATGCCGAAGGTGGATTCACAGGCCACTGTCTGGGACCTGGCTGGTACTCTGCTGAGGGTGAGGATGCAGCTTTACTTGCAGAGTAGTAGGTACCGCTGGAGAGGGTACCCTCCTGTTGAAGTTGGTTGACTCTTGGATAGGTCGCAGATGTGGCGACTGGGATCACAGTAACTGCCCTCTGCTGCTGTGGTTGCTGCGACTGAAAAGCTGACGGTACATCTTCTAAGTGACTGATCTGGTCACCAGCCGCTTCTCTCATCCTGAACTGTCTAGACACCTTCCGGTAACTGGAAAAAGAAAAATAAACAGATAAATACAAACTGAAATTAAACATGCAACAAGAACACTGTACAATCAGCAAGGACCCCTGTAAAGGGCATAATGCTTTACTGAAACATTATTTACATCATGTTCACCTTAAAGTCATGACAAACCTACATAGTTATCAAACCTCTGCATTAATTTTTAAGAGAATTGGCTCAAACATTTAAGAATATTTCAGCAAAACTTCCTTTTACATTGGAAGTTACTCTGGCCTTGATCTAAAAGGTACTAATTCGTTAATTGCCAACTATCAAAGTTTTAAAATCATATTCTACAATATAAAATGGCTCTTAATTTTCTTTAGGCTCAGCAAGTGCTATAAGCAACCTACTAATCAAGTATCAGTATATATGGGCAAAAATGTCTGTACCTAAAATGTTACAAGGTCATATAACCTTTGACCTACTGACATAAAGAAGTCAAAAACATTATCAACCTCCCTATCAAACCAAAGGTTAGTTTTTCAGCAAAACCTTTTTCTATTGTAAGATCATTGTTACATTGACCTTTGACCTTAATCTGCATTTGGGAGCAACCGATTTTTCTAACTAACCTCCAAATCAAGCCTGAAGGTTATAGGCTCAAAACACCTAAGCTTTGTGGCAAAAACTATTTTAAAATAAAAACTTTATGTGACTATGTCCTTTGACCTGCTGACCTTAATATTAACATGAACTTTGTACTTGCAAAGGGAAACTTGTGTATGATATTTAAAGAATGTAGACCCTAAGGTTTTCAAGTCATTGCGTCTTAAAAAATTGAGTGAACATTTTAAATTAAAGGTTACTGTGGCCTTGACCTTTAAAATAGTGACATAAATATTTTTAATGGACCTTATGCAATTTCACGTAACTTGTTATGGACAACCTGTGTATGAAGTCTGATCGCCATAGTCTTTCAAATATTTGTAGCGTTCTACATTAAAGAACACCTTGACCTTTGACCAACTGACCTAAATATGACAAGTGGACATCTACGTGTTATGTACAACCATTGTATGAAGTTTGGAGACTGAGGGTTATCAAGTTATTGAGTGGTAACACAAATGTTGACGGACAGACAGATGGACAGGGACAGACACAATGATTATATAGAGTACGCGCACTTGCAGTGCGACGCCCTTATAAAATATGTGACATCAAATAAATGAATTTTAGATTTATGAAATATCATATCCTTACTGGTAAAGGACTGTGGTTATCTCATCATACGCAGGTTCCAGGCAGGCATCATGTAGGCGATCCAATTCCGCTTCTAAGTATTTGCAGAAAGGAGTGGCTCTGCTGACTTGGTGTTCTCGAGTGATATACTCAACCAGCTTATCTTGGAGATCATGGGATGCTCCGGCAACTCCCATATCCATGGTAGGAGACTCGGGTCTGTCCCCATTAGCTTTTCTGGTCCTGGAAGGAAGTCTCGGTGTAGGATAGCTGGTGAACATCTAGGTATGCTCACGGGGTTTATCTGCAAGACTGTCTGTCATGGTACTTTCGTCACTCAGAGGTACTTCACCTGTCTCAGCCAGGGCCAGTTTGTCCTTAAACTGCAAATACAAAAATAGAAAAGACAATAGAAAATAAGATTTAGGGATTCCGTATTTATCTATCTTGCAAGTTATATTTGAAAGCAAAAAGTTGAGAAATGGACAATTTGAAAATTCATTTCAGTTTGAATTTCAATTTTAATGATTTACTTAAACTAGCCGGTGTATCCTTCTTGTGACGTCTGATATGTGGCTTCAGGAACCCAAAGACCCGGCGGATGAACCTGTCACGGTCACTGTCATTCTCACTGGCCTCCTCGACAAGGATGGGGTCTTCCTCATCACCACTCGATACACCATCACCTGACCTCTTCTGTGATTTTTTGATGGGTTGACCCTCACGTAGCTTCGAGAATCGAGTCCTCTGTGTGTGATACCATTTCAGAAGTGCATCATCTGCAATGACAGAAATCAAAATAAATGATTAGTGCAATCATTCAAATTGTCATTGAGAGCAATATAACGAAAGTATCAATAATATATTTCAAATATTTCAGAATAATTGAAATGTTAATGTTTTTTACTTACAATTTAACCTGTACTCAGCAGCCTTTCCTTCCCATAACTGTCTCCTCAATGCCTTGTCTTTGTACTGTCTGTATTACATGTCATACAGTATTTTATTTCTCTCGATCCAGCGAGCGATTACCTCCTCTTGCTCCTCTGTAAAACTGTAAGGTGGGTTCTCATTTTGGGCCTTGCCTTTCCCTTTGTCACTCTTGCCATTGCCCACTTGAGGCTTGGACTTAGCCTTGTCTGCAGGAAGTGCGAGGGAAGCTGGCTCATCTGAAAGGATATAAAATGGAAAAAATGAATACTTGCATAACAACAATGTATGGGAACAGATAACAAAGTCAATTACCCTACTTCCCCATTCAGACAAAATATAGTTTGTAAATATTTCAACATTTACGAATTCGGGATGTATGTTAAAAGGTGGAGAGGGAGAAGCTGGTTGGGACTGCTGAGGCGAACTTTCAAATTGCTGAGGTGATCTGGAGGCCGCTCTAAAATTGTACTTGGACCGACATCTTTCTTGGATTTCACCACTCGCCTCTCTCTAGTTGGAGATTTAGAACTGTTTGCTTGGTCCTTTAAATCTTCTGTTTTCTCTGCTTTCCTCTTCTTGGTACTGTATTTTCTAGCGAGACTCTTACCATTGCCTCTCCCTGCCTTAGGTGGCATGATAAATGATATAATTCAAACAAATTTTGAACAGTAGACGTAGTTGTGCTCCTTAAACTATACTATCAACAACTGAAATTTGCCGCGTTTTGCCGACGGATTTATACCATCCTGAGGTCATGTGACACCTTCGTGACCAGTTCGAACGCATCGTACTCACAATACGACGTCGTGTTCCCATCGCGTGGCCTTCGTGTGTCTTGCGTGTTAACTATTTGGTAAAAAATTGCATCTTTTAGGTTTCTTCGTGTGCGAATCGGATGCAATCGCGTAACCTTCGGTAAGAAACGTGTGTTGATCGTATGCGATCGCGTGACCTTCTGTAGGAATCGTACTTGCTTCGGCATTTGATTGACTGTCGACTTCTTTCGGGGCCAACTTCGCGCGAAATTAAAAATTCCTTATTCGTATGCACATCTGGTGTCAAATTCGGGACAGTGTGACGCAGGCATAACGAAAGCTTTTGATGTATCACAAAATACTGCGCAAACTTCTTTTCCTTCATCTAGGGCTTTGCTGATGTCATTGTAGAGAAAGGTTAGCTGATTTATGGTTGAATCCCCTTTATTGAACCCTGATTGAAAAGGTTTTAATACTTAATTTGAAATGACATGGTTATAAAAGTTCTATGGATGCTTCTTTCCATAACTTTTCCGAGACAGCTTAATAGCGATATAGGTCTGTAATTACATGTTTTAGAAGGATCGGACTTTTTATAAACATTGGCAAGTTTCCAGGAGGAGGGAAATACAGATTTTAAAAGAAGTTTGTTGAAAAACCTTGCAAGTGGTGCAGCCAGTTCATCCTTACCTTCCTTAATGAGCCTTTGGCTAATTAAGTCCGGACCAGATGCTTTAGCTGAGTCTATAGAGTTGATAGAGTCCTTAACGTCTTGAGTAGTGACTGTTACACACCAGAAATGAGGACTTTTGTAATGATTTCAAGATGTGGAAGGGGATGGTGTGGGTTTTCGATGGTTGATTGTTTGTTAAAATAGGTGTTTAGAAGCTCAGCTTTCTCTTTGTTTGATTCTGCTATTGC